GAAAGATTACAGGGGCTTGACGGGACGCGTCCGACAGTTCAACAGCATTGAGCCGACGACCATCCCGCCGTCCTTTGGCGATCGCGATGGCGTGCAGCTCATCCGGCAGATTACCGGCGGACCGGGCAACGAGTTTACCGACCTGGCACAGCGGTCAAGCTCTGGAATCTTGTGGCAGGCCTGGTGCTCACTTTCTACATTCCATAAGCGACATAGACGGCCAACCGTAATGCATAAGACCCGAGTTTGGATTGTAGGCATACTGTTATCACCAACAGAGCCCGATGGTGGCAGGCGGATTTGGTCTGGAGCCCCTACGACACCCGGCGGGTTCCATGCAGCACCGGCACTTGCGCATTGGGTGCTGCTTGGGTTCCATCGGACCGAATTGCTCAGTGCGCGGCAGGGACCGTCTTCTCGGTGCAGCTTGGGTGTATCGCATGTGAGGCGGGCAGGTATGCGTCAGCGGGGATGCTTGAATGTGAGCCGTGCGGTGTGGGCACGTTCACCAATGTCACAGGCATGGCAGCATGCCATCCCTGTGCCCCGGGGAGTTACAACAATGTGCTTGGGGCTGATGGATGTGAGGAGTGCAGTCAAGGGTTGTTTGCCAACGAGTCAGAATCTACTGGATGCATGCAATGCCCGATTGGCCGCTATGCAGCACAGAAAGGATTGGCAACTTGTGTCGAGTGCCCGCCTGGACTGACGACCTTCTCTAGAGGTGCTCTCGATTCGGATGCTTGCCTGTGCCAGGGTGAGTTGTACGAGGGACAGTGTGTCGTCTGCAGTGGCAACACCCGCTACGAGGCAGGTGCATGCATTCCGTGCTCCGAGGGTTTGACATGCAACGGAGCTCGCACTGCCGTGGTGCAGCCTGGCTTCTTCACGGACACTGCCGCGCCCTTCGATGTCTACAGATGCCTTCCTAGCGAGTCGTGTCCTGGTGGCTTGCCTGGGACATGTGCCGGGGGACGTATCGGCGTCCCCTGCACCCAGTGCCCGGCTGGCCAAGCGTGGAGTACAGATGTTTGTGCAGATTGCGCTCCATTCAGCCTCGGTGGTTGGGTCCTTGCCGGCATCGTCGGCG